TCGGGCCATTTGATTCGGACACGGGCTCAACAGCAGTGACACTAAAGTGACTTGGGATTGGATTTAGTGACCCGGGACTCAGAAATGGTACCACAAAGCATGTAACGCGCGGGACTCCGACTCGCCTTTGGGACACCTCACCTCCGACTCACCCAGGACTACCAGCACTAGTCAAGACTCGTCTGTCGACTAACAACGATGTTACAGCTTCCCACCATGCACCTAACCCCACGTGACCGATCAAAACGCGGCCGTGCAATCAATACTCACGCTCTACCTCGATGACCGTGGAGCGGCCGAGCGATATCCAGATCGGCGTGTACTCGCCCTCCCGGCGCATCTGGCTGAACACGCCCCGCGGAGTCACGAACACCTGCAGTTTGTTGGTGCTCGGGTCCGTGCAGGGGCTCAGCCGCTGCCGATCGCCCGCTCGGCCCCACTTTGTCGCGTTGCAGAGCGCCCTGGGGGTGCCGAGCGGATAACAGTCACGCTCGGGGCGGATCAGGGTAAGGATGGGCGATCTGCAGGACCCCATCGCCGAATTCATCACCTTGGACGGCCCCATGGTGCAGTGTAGGCGAATCGTCAGACGGCTCCGCCGCGCTAGACTTATGCTCGATTCGACCTAAATCGTGAATGGGCTTACGGACCAGTCGTTTTGGGGTGAGCCGCGAGCTGAGTTGGCTCGTTATTAAAAAATGTCGCTTATGAGCGATGAGCCGAAGATGATTTTTTGTAAACTGTATCAGCTGAATCGTAAGTCGGTCATTTATTGCAACGTAGTGCGTTCATCCATTCAACTGGCTCTTGTCTTGAGACTCGGCTTACTCGACCAATATGCTGGTCAGTTTGACGGTGCGCGCTGTCGGCTGCGTGCGCAGTCACGTTGGCCAGCGAGTCAGGCGGCGCCGGCTCGACCCCGGGGGTTGGGTGCCTAAGCCGTAAATAAAAGGGCATTCCGAAACAGATGCAGAGCTAGGTGACTTGACGCCTTAATTTCATAGCGCAGGTAATCAGCAGTGAGTTTCTCAGGAGGTCGGGTGGTAGAGGAGATCAGAGCAAGTAGGAAGAGTCCCGACGCTGGCTATCTCTGAACGTAGTCATCCGTCGGACATGGCAAACTTGCTCGTCTCTAAGCTCCGCCACGATATCGTCCTCCGTCATGAAAGGGAGCTCAGGCGCAAAGATAGTGCAGTTAGTGATGTTTCGTTCGTAGTGCATGGAAACTTTTACTTGTTGGCCACAAAACTCAGTTGTTTTGAGCAGAGCCTTGATCTGCGCGCAAATGGTTATCTTTATGATGTATGTTGTATGATGTATGTTGCATGGTGTTGCATGTTACATGTTGCATGATGTCGCCCCCGTGATCTAGGGGAAAGATGATGGACTCGCAGTCCAGTGACACTGGGTACAAGTCCCAGAGCGGGTGCATTGTTTGGCCCGCCTGAAATGGAAAGATCAGCTGGCAACTGGCCAACGAGGGTCAACCGTGCCTGGGCGGCCGTGTCGCAGCATTGTGCGGCACGTAAAACCCTCCGCGTTCCTGTCTGGCGCAAGGGCGGAGGCAAAATTTTCCGTTGAACTGAGTGGTAAGACTTGGGTGGTGGGTTCAGGGTACACGCAACCAGCTATGTTTAGCAGGTACTGTGAACCCAGTCACCCACGCAAACCATTCGGAACAAATCTATTGTTTTTAAAAATGTTCTATGCAGGATGATGTAGGGGTTGTTTTTGTGATACGTTTACTGGTGGTTCAATTTTTAATTCGCATCGGTCACAAATAACCTTTTTCGTGTTTTTTTTTTGGTTTTTTTGGTTTTTTTCTGGCCATCAAAACAAATTCAAATTTGTTTTGATGGCCAGAAAGCGTTAATTTCCCAAAATGATGCATTCTCAGCACAAGGTCGAACAACAACGTAAGAGCCGAGAGGATCCAGAATTGGCTCAGAGGGCAGGCGAACACTGGTCGTTGTCGAGCCAGTGTCAGCATCAAGGCGAACAGGCGTTGGATTGGTCGAAGTCAAGCGGGGGTCGGAACCAGGGGCGTTGGACGGAGACAGGTGCCGTCCGTATTCCTTGACGGGAAGCACGTGAATTAATGGGCAGGGGCTCGTGATAGCCATCAGGTAAAGCGGCGGTCAAAGCGAGGCCAACGGCACCTCCGTGATCTATGTCCAAGGGAGAGTCAATGTCTGAGGCCGAGTTCGAATCCGTGTCAGTGCCATCCTCCTTCCGCTTGCCACGCTTCCCCATAGTGCAAGAGCGCAAAGAGAGCGACAGAAACTAAGCGGACAGGTGTGTGTTTTGAGCGAGTGCGAACGGAAGAAGTGACGAGAACGACGAAGAGAAAAGAAGACTCCTTCACAGACAGCCGCAACAGGAGCAACCGCTCTGTGTCAGGACAGTCTTGCCAGTCAGGCGAAGCCAGTGAATGCGTCGACCATGTGTGTCAATCACGAATCACGTTTTGTTCTATATGATGTACGATGTTGGACGTGATTGTTGATTGTTAGTTACTACGTCAATGGGGCTAGCCATCGGATAAATATGCAAGAACACCAAGATTAAGGGCAAGAACACAATCCCATGACGTTTGGCTCGGCGAAAACTTCCAGCACCGTACTGTACGAAGAGTTTGAAGTCCTTCAATTGAGTGCTAAGGTGGCAATTTTGCACGGCGAGTTTGGCAGCACCATAATTTCATACAAACGTTCCATGATACAATCAATCAACGACAAATTTAGGAGCACAATAACTAAATAATAAAATTGTGTTGACTTGGGCTGCCCTTCCACTTAAACGTATACTAAATAGTTATAAGTGAGTTTATGTCATCCTATCTATCTTTTGAATGCGGACCACCCCACATAAAAGTTGTTGTGCGGTCGCTCTTGTGCTGACAGCTGACATCTCCTTCAGCATGCCAAGAGGTGCTGATTAAAGGATTCACCAAGCAAGCACTACTCATAATGTCCATTCTTAGTGGAGCAAACATTGTTACTTTGATAACGCCATTGAACCGTCATCTCTGCGTTTCCTGAGCGTCAATGACTGCAGCATAAGAACTCAAAAATAAATGCCTTAAACCCGGGAGCGCAAGGCCTTCCTATGTATATATATATATATATATATATATATATATATATATATATATGTATGTATGTGTGTGTATGTGTGTGCGTGAGTGTGGTGTGTGTGTGTGTGTGTGGTGTGTGTGTGTGTGTGTGTGTGTGTGTGTGTGTGTGGTGTGTGTGTGTGGGTGTGTGTGTTGTGTGTGTGTGTGTGTGTGTGTGTGTGGGTGGTGTGTGGTGGTGTGTGTGTGTGTGTGTGTGTGCCGGGTGGTCACCAGTGCATATCGATAGATCTAATCAGTCAAATGTCATACCATGTTAAATAGGTAAAGGTGTTTTTGCAGCGGCCCGCCAGCCTGTAAAAAACCAACAAGTCACGTCAATGCAAAACACAGCGCTATAAAAGCCTTCAAAGCTGTAAGATGTCTGCTGTTACAGATTAAATGGCGCGATGTAAAGGTCATATGTGGGGCCAAAACGTGGCGTTTTAACAGTCTTGATCTGGTGCGACCTGACTGAAGCAACCAGACATACAACAACGTACTTCAGAGTGATACGTTCAATAAAACTAGCTCATCAAGACCCTTTGGAAGTGCATTTTCTGCAAGAATTAAGCGTTCCTTGTCATTTCTGAATAAAATATTAACTACACATCCTCGAGAAATGGGCGACAGATCCTGCACCATTCATGCAATAAACCTCAAATTTTGACAGCATGCGCAAACATGATGTAAACTAAAGTAACCAAAGTTTCAGCATCGCGTCCAAGATATCGGAAATTATTCTAGAATATCCTCAGGGGACCTCTGAGGTTCCCCTATAGGGAGAGGAGTACCACGAGTAGCCTGGTGTACCACGATAAGCCTGGTGAATGTTTCAGCTGCAGCGGATTGGTGCAAAAAAAGACATCCTGATCTATCAGAATCAAGTTCTTGGGCCAGGTTAATCTAAATCGCAACCAAAAACCATGGTTATTGTCATCTATAAAATATCAGGTTGATGTGTGATGGGACTGATGACGTCTCCGATCATGAAAATCTGAAAACGCCTCTAAACTTGGTGAGATAGCGGGATGGATCCTGGGCCTGTATTGGCCGTAACAAGGGCAAGCTTAGCCCCATGAGTTTCATCACTTGCGTTTTCCGGGTCACATGGCCCGCTGTAAGATGATTATCTTGACCAAGGGTGTAGTTCATGCGTTCCTATTCAGTGAGTGAAATGTTCAGCCGACTCAACTTGGGCTCCAGACCCCGCTCCCCGCCCCCCCCCCCCCCCCCCCCCCCCACCCCCCCCACCCCCATCTCCAACCCCCAAACTTTGAGAAGAATATAGGCCAAAATCGGTAGAAACTCGGTTGTGGGTGCAATTGAGAGAAAAAATTTCGTCATTTTACACTGCTCAGTCCTCTCCCCTTCCCCAAGCCCATTACAATGAACAACACCCTTGATCCTGACGGCAGTAATTTGTTCGCAAATTGTGGCACGTGCAAATGAAGATGGAAACGAGAACAATCACCCACGACAGCCGTGTTGAGCCAGCACTCACCTGTTCAAATCGAACATAATTTGACGTCGTTGGGGTGCAGCTCCCCTGCTGAAGTTTAACTGATACCTTGCACACTTCGGAGCAAATCGATTGGATACGGTAGCAGCGTCATCATTCCGGCGTGTAGTTTCGCCATCCTTCTGATTGCTGCCGCTGCTGAAGGGTGGCCTTATCTTCACATAATCTACAGCATTGATGGCCATCATGTCTAAGAAGTTCTCCAACGTTATGTTGTCTGATTTTAAGTAACCAATGCCTTGAAAAGTGTCCGGGGAGTAGTCAAGAAATGTTCCGTATTTGGTTCCAAAGTGCTTGGTAAATAACTCATATGAGTGTGACAAGACAGCATGCTTGAGATATTCTTTTTCAGTTTGGTTGTGCGCTTTGGCTAAAGCCGTTGTCATGTTCGGAATACATCCCACACTTTGTGCTCGGTCTATTTTGTATAGAAGATCATCCGACACCCTCGCGAACTTGCTCCGATGTAGACATGCATTCATTTCCTGAAACACTGCGTTGAACTGACTGTACTTGGCTGATCCTTCAAACAGTTGTGCCTCCTTGAATCTCGAAAACTTCCGGTAGCTGTTCCCTATGTGGAGGCCCGCTATGGCGTTCAGTGTCGGCAAGGGACATAGTGTTACGTCAAGGTCTCCGAAGCTCCATAGGCCGGATGGGACGAGGACCTGAATCACAGACACGGGATTTTCTCATTTGCATACTTCGACTTCAGAAGCTGTAGAAAATCGTGTTCTAAATATTTTCAAATGTAGCACAAGAGCCGCCAGTGAAACTGTGACAACCGCGCTCACATACTGCATCTACAGGGAGAATTGGACAATGGTAACGTTAGCAACATTATTTTAATAGAGCCTGACCTCACCGAAATTTGAAGCGTTGGCGAGTGAACAACACGGTATTGTCTTGTTGATTGTATACTTACGTCTAAATCTTGACTTCGTGCGTATTCTTTGGCAGACCGATTAGTTGCCAATAGCACTACACCTAAGCAAAATCCCACAAAGAGCAGACGGCAGATGTGATAAACAAATTCCGAGCAACATCCATTTCGAAATTGCGATCTTTCTGTAAACAAATAATTGTATGTTAGCACGAGGTGGTTGGTGCGTGCAAATAATGAGACCAAGTTATTTGATTAGATAATTGCACGAACGGTCAAAGAAGGTGCTGAAGAAATCCATTCCTTTCCATGTCACTTACTTCCAGCCATATTTCCTTTCGGCTACTTATTAGACGTCCGCTGCCTCATGACCTGGATACTTGACACATAAGAACGGTTACGGAAATGATGTTGGAGTGGTTTTAACACTTTTACACATGCTTCATGTTGGCAATGCTTAATTACATCCACATGGTATGGGAAAGATTCATAATACATTCACCCGACAGGTATTACAGAATTCGCCAAACATTCCGTGACATTTGAACTACAAAGTAGACGTACGCCACAAAAACCGGCGCGGCAGATATCTAAAACAGATATCCAATAGCTTTCTAGATGTTAGACTTGATTTTTTGCCAGCTATATTTTCTCATTGCTCGTGGCATATTCAATCTGTCTTCTCCAAATTGACGATGCTATTCTATGGCAAACTTTGTGTCGCACGAACAGCTGTCTAAGTGAAAAAATCATCTTACTTTGTGTTTTCTTTGTTTCGAAAATGATGCTTACTACCTAGATTTTGTTTCAATTTAGACTGTGTTTTTTCAGATTTTCCTTTTTTTAGGTCTATTGTAATACTGAAGAAACAACCGGACGCCTTATTTCATGACAGTAGTGCCCTGTGGTATGGGCGTTACTCACGACGGAAGTCTGATTGCCTTTACAAATGATAGTCCCATCATACAGAGCAAACAACGCGGCAACCATTCAAAGCATATTCCAAAATAGCTCCCGAACCGCTGGGCTTAGTCGCACCAAACCTTTCATAGCTGTAGCCAATTAGGTAGCGAATCTTTTGACACAAGAATAGATGTACCTCGAAAATTCGTTGACCTATGGCAGGTTACAACCAAGCCATGGCTGTCACTGAAGCCAGTTCCAAAGGATCCGTTCAATTTGATGCGACAACTGAGTGTTACACGGAGCCACACGTCATGGAGATGGTTCTTTTGACAACAATGCAAGTGACCTTGTAGTTGCGTCTATAACCATTGTCTTTGCCATGTAAGCAGGTCAGATCGAGGACAAATCAAATAGTTTGTTTCCAAGGTCCTTGCGGAGCTGCTGGGGTACCCTGTTATGTTGGGAGCAATTTGTAATGTTTTGCGGCGCCCTTTCAATGTCATTTAGGGGGCATTACAGCACACATTGTCTATTATTACCCTCACATCGCATTCCCTGACAGATATTTCTGCATCTTCGGCACAGGGACGTCAGATCTGTTAAAGGAGAGGGGTGCGAAGTACCGTCGCTGCCTTCTCCCTCCAGATCCGCCTCTAACTCTTAATAGCGAGCCATCCCCATAGACTGGGGCAGGGCAGGAACTAGAGACGAAAATTGTCTTCCTGCCATTCCGCCTCATCTGACCCGTAGCAATACGACGACTTCTGCCCAGGAAGTGGGCCAAATATGGCGGGGTTTTGCGGTCAAAAATTTAGCAAGTGCAATAATGCAGTTTTAACATTACGTAAGATCCAACCCTATCACAAACTCACTATGCTGTCAAATAATACAATAATGAAAACATGGCATTCTGTGCGCCATTGCCTCCACGCGACTCCGTCTTTCTTGGGAAACACTGTAGCCAAAACTTTTTACCCATGAATGCCATGGTGTTGATGTCAGGTTTTTTATATTTCAATAAGGTAGAGCAGTTCTCAAACCCAGTTGACATAGCTAATTACATGAAAGGAGTGTTCAAGGTGAAAGCAAAGCGATGAAGTGATCCTCATGGACGGATTAAACCCTGCAAAACCGACGCGCTAATCGGCCTTAAGCTCGCTGTTTCGGCCATTCGTACACTAACATTTTAATCCTAGCCACCGAGACTTTTGGCATGACCAGGAAATGACATTTAGTTCAAGTGAAGCTCCCGAAAAAAAATGTTTGACGTTTATGACGCATTGTATTTCATCGATATTTGTATCTTGTTTATTGCATTTACAATTGTATTGCAACGGCTTCTGATAGATTTCACTCTAGATGGCAAGTAAGACCTTTCCAAATTTCGTCGGTGACAGAAAAAAACGCTTTTGCACTCTTGATAAAAATGCTCTTAGCTTGACAGACATCTTAAACCTTGGTTTAGACAGGGCCGAGTATGCCATAGTGCCCAAGGTTTTGGGGCGTGGCAAGGTTGTGCTCCTGATGGGGTAAATCGAAGTAAAACGCCTCTAAAGTAGCATAATGGTACACACCCGCCGGGGAATATAATACAGCTATATCTATATGAGATGTACACGCATCTACAATGTTGTATTCATCAGGCTCCAGGCCTCGGCACGCTTCCTGAAGCTTCTCGGACGCCTAGCTTTGGTGTGTAGACGACAAGTGACGCCTTCCCGAATGCGTCGTGGGAGTGTCGGTTAGCCTGGACGCAAAGGCTCCGGGCGGCTCTGCGTGCCTGATACGGACAGCATGGCGCAGTGATGCACGCGCGCTCTCACCGGCATCAGCGGACTGACGTCTCGGTGACTGCTGACCGCTGCGGCTCATCGGTCCGCCGCCTCTGGCGGTTCTGCGTGCCAGATACGGACAGCATGGCGCAGTGATGCACGCGCGCTCTCACCGGCATCACTGGACTGGCGTCTCGGTGACCGCTGACCTCTGCGGCTGATCGGTCCGTCGCCTCCGGCGCTCTGCCGCACAGGAGCATCCTGGCGCGCGCACTAGTAACGCACTGCATCACGCAATCCCCTCCCCAGAATGCGAGTTCATTGGCAGCCCCTCCCCCCCCCCCCCCCCCCCCCCCCCCTCCTCCAACACCGAGCGGACTACACGGTCCATTTGCCGTATCGCTCAGGAGGACGGCCACGCCTCTCACTGCTGCGGCGGGGTTGGGTCACGCGCGCTTCTGTGAAACGATTCGTCATTACATCAATGTGTTCAACGTCTTAGCATTTTCAGAAATGTTATTTTCAGACCCTGAGCCGTTTTTCTGAGGTCCAAGCCTCTGAATTCCACGTGAACGCTGGCTGTCTGTTGTGCCATTTGTCGCCATCATATTTGCCTTTGTCCCCGGGTCTTGTCACCATGGTCCGTCAGATGCGGCTGCCTTGTTTCCACGGGTTTCAAGTGATGGAAATGACGTATGAAGCCATAATTTAAGTTGTACTCTTTCCTGGCACGACATGTGCTCCCTTGTCGGCGACTGGTCGCTACAAGTGGCCCGTTCCAATGGGGATGATCTTCTCCTGACGTTTTTTGTGAAATCTTCATGGACACACGTTTTCCCAGAAGTTGAAGGACCATGTCTGCCTTTTTTCCTAGAATCTACTCATCTCGTTTTTTTCTGCCTTTTTCTGCTCCCGTCTGATTATATCCTCGTGAACTCTCACCAACGTTTTTGCCAGGTTTCTGGTCCAGGATTGCTGTGCCGAAACGACGCTTTTAACTTTCTTCTGTTCGAGCTATCTCAGGTGTGTATGGCGTCTCGAGGCCAAACTGGAGAAAAAAAAGAACTCTCAGTGGATTGTGCTAAGTTGGCATTTTTTATCTAACAACACTACTACCTTTGCCCCACTCGCATTCCGCCTACTGCACATTGCGACGGATCAGGGTGCCGATTGTCTTTTTCACCCATTCCGCTATGTCATTCAATTGCAGATGAAGTCAGAGGTGCCGATTGGATTTCAAATTGCTGGAATTCCAGATAGTTTCAAGGATAAATTTGAAAATTAAATGGAGAGGGATAAACAAAGTTGAGGATTTTTTGGACGGCGTATATCATTTGTAGCGTCTGAAATTGGCATGCATCTCAACTTATTCAATGCTGTTCGTTTTCGAAACCATTCGATTCTGGGACGTAAACAAGGTTTTCATGAAGCACACAAGAAAAAACTACTTTTTTCAAACATGACATTTATCGCGTACATTGCGACATATTCCTTGCTAAGAATTCGTTTACCGTAGGTCAGGTCAGAAGTCGCCGAACTTAACGAAGTCCAAAAGTTTTGCTTTCAGACAACTTTCAGATAACTGAGTTATCAGAACGTGCCACGCCGGTTCCTGCGAAACCTTATCATTCAGTACGCCATTTCCCCCGATTTACTGTTGAAGCTGCACTGGTGCCATTTACAGCTATGCCTTTTCCATTTATGTTTAATCCCAAGAAAACGTGCAGATTGGTTGGGTTGGTCTTTTAAGGTTAGCGATGTCATTTGTCGCTTGAGTTTTCCTTAGCGGAAGTGCTGTCCTGAAAGTCACGTCCTGAATGCCGTTGCCGCAATTATCAGAACTGCGGTCATGGTCCACGTGGTGGTGCGTGGATGGTCAATGTGTATGGTGTGCGACTGCTGTTTTGTCGTGATTATGTACATACCCCCCCCCCCCCCCCCCCAGCATTCTTTTGTTGGTTGATGACTCCAAGTCGTTCAGCAGTCCGCCCAATTGCACTGAGACTGGGTCACAGCTGTGACGGATGCTGTAGGTCTGACGTGCCCGGCTGTGAGAGCAAGCTGGATGGGCCTCATCGAAACGGACTGTTTCGGTCAGTGTCCTGCTGTGACAGATCCGTGACCCTGGCATCCTTCCTGGAGACATACTTTCTACACTCTTTGTATAGTTTGTCACCGAAGCACAAGTCCCAGAAGCAAATCGGCGAAAATGACGGGATAGACGTCACTGCTTGGTCAGCGGGAGCCTTGGGCTTCACTGCGTGTTGTGCGTGGTCGTGTTAACGCGTGGTTCGACGAGCGCAGCTGTCCAAAATGTGCCGAATTGAATATCTCTTTTTTCACTTTGTGTGTCTTTGCCCATTAAAAGGGGAGACGACGCCCTGCATTTGCGCGCAAAATATGTACAACCGTTATTGCTATAATGTGCACGACCGCAAAGAAAATACCCGCGCGCTCCGGCACAATGAAAAGGGTGTATGGCTTCATGACATGCATTGCACTGCCATGTATGTCCAATCGAAAGGCGAAGATTCGGAGACAGTCGGGACTTTAAGTTCTAAATGTCGCAGGTAAGAGCTTTGGAATTTGTGTAACCGACGTCTTTGACCGGACCTATGGTCGCCGGATTTTAAACTCCTATAGGAAATCAGGTATGGCGCATCCAACGTTGAAGGTCTCGCAGCGATCAGTTAAAAATGTGCTGAGAACTGGGTTGTGTGCATGCGATAATTATGGAATTTTTCGGATTTGACGACTTTTGACCTGACCCAGAGTCACTGAATTGTCTAATGCGACAGGGAATCAAATATGGCACGTCCAATGGTGAAGGTTTCACAGTGATCGGTGCAGCAGGCTCCGAGATCTGAGTTGCATGCTTCTGTATGCAAAATTTCCATTCGCGTTTTTTATACGTTTGATCTCAAGTCAGGTTATATTATTGTATCTTTATGACTTATCTTATTACACGAAATTGGTTGGTGACGGTTTCAAGGCCATCAAACGAGCCTTTTCGGAGAACAAGCGTGTCTGCTTTATATGCCTGTCTTTTAGACCCTGTCGCTGCATTGCATTTCACAGCACGCTCAAGAAATTTGACTGCCAAGTGCTAAGAGCCGGGAGGGTTGCTACAGTTGGGCCCGTTGATGTGTGGAGGTGGTGGAAAGGGATTGCAGCATTTTAGGCGGTGGGCACATTTCCAGTATTGCATAGGAAATAATTGTAGATACTTGCACAGGCCTCAGAACTCCGACGTGAGCCGGCGTGCATCTCGGTGGTTATATTTTGTGTGCCGCGGTCGTGTTTCTGCGTACGCTGCGGTATACTTGAGTGAAGTACTTGAAGAATCCCGTGCTAACTGCCTGTAGTCAATGGGCTTATCCTGTACGGAGAGATTAAACTCGTAAGAATCTGTAAGTTTTATTTTTCTGTAGACAAAGTGAAGAATTTATGCTATGAGAGCCATTTTCTTCTCTAGGGTCAAAATATATGTGATAATATTTTTGTAGTTATTCAAGTTGGTTTGTGCTGTCCTTGCTTAAAAGTGTCTTAACAGCATCCCTTAAAACATTGACTGTATATATGCTGAAATCGGTGACAATGATCACAACTTAGCCCTTGGAGTCATGCCATGCATGCCCAGAAATTTTGACTAGGATGTTCTTGCTGGGTGGGACAACTTTGTTGTAAGCTTTATATTTTAGATCTGAGCTGGAGGGGCTGTAGCACTGAAAGGATTTTAGAATTTAGAGCAGGGCACATCTCAAATGTTTGCTCTGAGAATCACATTGTATGTCTAGGTCCACAGTTGGTTTGTATGTACAGATAAACATGTCATGCTAGCTATTTTTTTATGTTAACCTCAGTTTGATGGTATCATTATCCATTCATGTGCATCTAATTGCATGCCCAAAATTTGATATGGGGGGGGGGGGAACTTGCCCCTGTGGCTGTTCTCCCTTAGATATGACCTTACTGCCATCATGAAGTATTATTTGTACAGCTTAAATCTGGTAAGGCCTTAATTGAGACCAAAACCTTCCAAAGTGGTAATATCAAAAAACCATACTGGGAGAAACAAAATCAATAAATATATCTTATGCAACTCTGCATTCAACACACAAACCAATTTTGTAATGGGCTTTGTCCTTTTAAGTTGAAACATGTTAGTATTGCCATAGTGCATCCACAAAATTTAATAAAAACAGATCATGATTTTGTTTTCAATTTTGGCATAATACTTGATATTTCTACCCTTCTTGATGGCTAGAAATACTTTGGGAGTATTGGTAATGTACAACAGTGACAAGTTTAAAGCTCCTAAAATTTGTGTGAAGGCAGGGACTACTGCTGCTTGTTCCAAGTTTTATTCATACGGGCTGTAAGCCAAGTTAGGTAACTTATGAAAGTTAATATTTTGGTAGATGTATTCACAGAGCAATGACAACCTGGCCACTTGATTGTACATTTCATACATCCTGTAACCCTCAAGGCTACTGAAGCAAAGTGTTAGCCAAATAGTAATGTTGCGGAATTTTGAGGTTTCCCAGTAATGATTTATCCTTTTTCATTTAAATGGAAAAATGGCCAGCATTTATCTGGCTATACAGGCTACAATAGAGAACTCAATATATTAGCATGAATATCATGCATGCACATGGCATGCCAGGGACAGGAAGTATCTGATAAAGCGACAGACTGCTATGAGTCGCTTGTTTTGTAGAAAACTGGGTTTTGAAAAAACTGATAACTGCTGTACTTCTCATAATTTTGCACAATCTTCTGTTTGAATTGAAAGTATTATACCCTGAAATATGCATGCATTCAAGTGATGCAGTGTGTGTTGTAGCATGCTGCTGACTACAAATACTGATATAACCCTTCCCCTTATCCAGGAGAAATTACAGAGATGTCACATTGCTTCAAAACATCACAGCTCATCAAATTTCCTTTGGGACTTGCCTCAAGATGTGGTACACTGGAGTGGAATTTCATCCATAGAAACAGCCAGGTATGAAATGTGGTGTGAGTGTGTGGATCAAGTGTTTTACCAACATGGTTTTGAAATGATGCCTTGCGTGGGTGTAGTGGTGTGTGGTGGGTGTGGTGGCGTGCTTGTCTGGGACACCAGTGGTACCAGGTTTGATTCCCTGTGGTGCCTGCTCTTCCTTCCAGGGTGAGAGGCAGGTGATGCCATCAAGCCTCAGTGGCTGAATGTGTTGTAAAGCCCCAATGACACACACACACTTTGCATGGGTGTAGGAAAAGTGGGGCAGGGATTTACCCCCCCCCCCCCCCCCCCCCCCCACACACACACTTTTCAAGGTGGGGGGGCCAGCATTGTTAACTCGCCCTCCCACTTTTTCAGACTTAAGTTGTGTTCAGCTTATGTTTGTACCTCCTAAACATGCATGCTGGTTTACCTAGTTCACCAACCATTTTCCTCCAGATGTGTCATCTTTTTTATTTAAGCATTGGTCATCACCTGATGTCACATCCGCGGGGCCAACGCCGCGTATACTATGGAGTTTGCAACACTGGACATGGAGGCTGTCGCTAAGATGTGCAACCATGCATGTTTAAAACAGTGTCACATAATTTTATGTCATAATCAAGTATGACTGAATGTTGAACATTTTAAGATGAACATGGGCTAGCCAGGTCAATATAAATTCAGAACCCCATTTCCATCTACAGTCGATGTTCAGGGCATCGTCAATATCTCTGAAGAACACAGTAAAAATCAGGAACTGGAGTCTGGGTGACAATTATTGGACCATCTGGACCATCTTACCACCTGACCACCTGGATTATCTGACCCCCTGGACCATCTGACCACCTGACCACCTGACCACCAACGGCGATCAGGGACGTTGTTGCGTCCATGAGGGTTCCTGTGCTGATCTGGAGCCAACGGCGCGGCTCAGACGGCCTTCCGTGTCAAGGAGGGGAACAATGTGATGGATGCATCCCTCTAAGGGCATTCGGATCGGCCAGGGGATTCCGCCCAGTGTCGCTAGCATGGCAGCCCGAGTACACCCCGCGAGGAGACGGAAGGACCCTTCAGCTCTTGACCAGAAACAGAAATGTGCCCCTAGTGGTCTAGTAAAGCAGTCACTTGGCCGGAGGAAAATGAGAGATGTCATTATTGTTAATAGAGTGGGTAGAAATTATTTCAAACACGAACAAGGTCATCCCATGTTTGCCTTTGCCGCATTTAGTCCTGTGCATAATCTATTAGTGAAACAAATTACATCAAAAGGTTTGAATATGCTCTCGTGCAAACTCAAGAGCAAGGACAGCGATGTCCTGGGCCGCAGTTTCGTAAAACCAAGTTATGGAAAGTATTCTAAATTCATTTGTATGATAATATGAGGTGCGTTCCATTTATTTTTGCATTATCTGGCATGATCACAGCATGAGTGATCAGTATGTGGCTTTGGGTGTTTTAGAGAGTTTCCTCTGCTGGATTGTTCTGGATGGTCTGAAAATCAGATAGACAGAGTCCGAAAGGAGTCGTAATGGTTGAATGCTGCACAGAAAAACCTAATTTGTACGAGTTGCATTGGTGACTTTCATTGCACTAGTGTACCTTCCTGATGCAAATTGTGTTCTTTTAGTTTGTTTTTGCTGTTTTGTATTCAGCACGAGCAGAGAACCCACCAGAAACAAGCTTTTAGGCTGTGAGCTCAAATCTAATGGGTCAGAAAAATGATGGCTGAATTTGATTGTCTGAGAGGTCGGGGCACCAGCCAATGTACCAGATGGTAACATTTGCTCTGCTTATCTCTACCAGCTTTCATTGTGTTAAGCTACGAATAGTTCACCAACAAGTGATGAAGTTATGTGTCTATAAGACATGTTTCTTGCAAAAAATCACCATTTGTAAATCTTACGTGCCAGATAGCTTGGCTAGGTAGTTCTTAGGGATTTGGGGGGCCTCAACTGCATGGTAAGATGGCGCCGTGATTGCGGGTGGAAGAAAGTGTGCAAGACGTAGTACCTCATATAGTATAGACCTGGAGCAGGACTATCTCTTCGCAGGAGCTGCAGTCTCCCCCACCTCAAGTCATCCTGCTCCCCTCTTTTGGGCAGCTTCCTTAAATGGAATGTTCTATATTTTTATGGGGTTTTGAACTGAAATAGGCGTCTTGAAGACCTTTCGGTGCAGTCCACGGTCCTGCCCTTCCTAAGACCTCAACTCCTCTAGCTCCTGAGCCGTTCACTCGCCCCCAAAATAGGGGAGAGCTTTCAAGGCCACCTTGGCATTCACGACGGCATAATTACGCTATTTGAATCCCGCCATTTCATAAGCCATGCCATGATGAGGGCCGAGAAAGATATGGTCGAGTCCTTTACATCTGGCGGTCGTGAGCACGATTTCCAGATATGATGGCCGTCAACTGGCTCGCAATCAATGTTGTGCAAGGTGCGATAGCGGAATCAAACAATGACGTTTCGAATAGCATATTTACTAAACAGAGCAATCGTGTTGTCTTGGGCAGTCTTTTCTTCGTTTGAGTATGGCTATAGTTATAAGTGAGCTTGTTGCATCACATGTGATGCTTGCCTCAATATCTTCAAATGTGGAACATTCCCTGTTGCTTTCCGTTTAAAACAGGTGAGCCCCATAGTTGCGTTCTATGTTTCATTTTTCTCATGTGTTTAAGTTGCGTCATGGTCACCCTCCCCATGCCCATATTCAGCTTTTCTTCCAAAGGCACGCGAACAGCGTCGATCGTTGTTACGTTCTGTTCGTCGCGTGACTGCGGGCGGTTGCCGGCAGGGGCCGCCGCCGCCTGCGGCCGTGGCCGCGCTGGCAGGGCGTGTGCGACCATACGGCTCGCTCTGCTTGAGCACGCCGGCGCTGGCGGCGGCCGAGGCGCGGCTGCCGGCGCCAGCGCCGCCGCAGCACGTGGTGCAGCACGTGGCGCGGCTGCAGCTGCAGCTGGCGGCGCTGGAAGCGGCGCACGCGCTGCAGACCACCGGCGACTGGCGGCAGCTGCGCGCCGGCTCGCTCAGCGCCTGCGAGCGGCGGGCCTTCAGCCTGCCGCTGCCGCCGGCCGACGGCCACACTCTCAGCGGCGCCGACAGGCCGGCGGAGCGGCCGCCGCCGGCCGAGCGCCTCCCTGACCGGCCCAACCCCGACCAGTTGCGCGCCGTCGAGGCCAACCTGCTGCAGAACGTGAGTCGGGGGTGGCTGTCAAGCCGTCTGGGCGGCCAGGCGTACGCCTGCTGACGGACTACTGTCCGCTCCTGCCCGGAGCGGCGACCGACGCGGCTCTTGCCCAGGGCCTCTGCGCGTTGTGTTGTTTCCTGTTAAGCTTGTGTTTTTTAATCGAATTTTTTAACGTTTGTTCAGTATAGCATTTTAGGTAATAATGCCATGGTTTTCATGCGTCTGTTCTGGACCTAAAGTTACGTCACTTCCCCGATGAGCTGTGACCTTATGACAAGAGGGTTTCGTGGCCTTATGACAAGAGGGTTTCGTGGCCTGCGCGTTTTATGCCTGGCCATGATCCAATGTGGTCTTGAGCACACCGGTTGCACGGCCTCGTTGATCGTCACTGCTCAGCATTATTGTTTTGCCACGCGCTGTTTGAAACGTTGGCAGGACTGGCCTCGACCACGGTTAGATCCATTCAATCAGCTTCCTGCTGTTCCAGCTCCCGCGCATTTTTGTCATGACGCAAGACTTCTCAATCTACCACAAGGACCTTGTCTTCGACAACAGAATACGTGGAACGAAATCGGTGTAAGTGGTGACATGCCTGTGGTGCGCATGGTTACGCATCCTGCCAGATCAAATCAGATGTTTAAAAAGATGAAAGCGAGGGATCAAATCCATAAAAGCTGTTAAATCTCGTGACGCTCATGTTCCTCCTCATTGCAGCACGATAGAACCTGTTATGCGTCCTTTCAGCAGCGCTGGCGTTCATTATCGGGGATGCAAGCATGTTTCGAAAACGAGTAGTAGATGTGTAATTCCCCGTTCGCCGTGGCTGGAGATCTCGCGTGGTGGGCGGCCGGTCGCCGTGTGACGTGCCACTCTCGTTGCAGGGGAATAGTGCCGTACATCAAGCAGTGCGCCCTTGCTGCGGATAGTGGGGCCACATCAAGTTCAGCTACGTGACGCTGCAAGTGCTGCAGAGCTCGGCGCATCCTGAGGACGACTCTATCCGCATCCGCTGGAGGATCCGCGGAGTCAGCGCCCTCAAGTCCATGTTGATGTTCTGGAAATTCAACATCTTTAAGCTCCAGAACAGCATTGACGAGCACGGCGTGGAGTGAGTTTTTCGTCCATCGAAAATGTTTGAAATTTGATGTAGTCCAAGTTCTGGAAGCTCCCCGCAGGAAAGCCGTACCGAAGTGCTGAATAAAAAATGCCAGTTCCAGGCCCGCTAATCGTTCTGTTTTTACTTTCAGTTGGTATGACGGCTACTCCATATTCCAAGTGGGTGGCGATGGGAAGATCCACACGCACATTGCCGACAAGGTATGCCAACAAGCTGGTTAGTTCGAGGGTGTGGGCCAGTCCGCCTAGTTTGCGGGACCGGTGTGGGCAAAATACGCTCATTTTTGGCGCACATTCACCTTTGTGTGAACACTCGTGAGCCCGCTGCGTGTCATCAGCTGGTGTGCGCGCACGCGGTGACCAGCCGCAGCGGGCCCTCCAGCTGCCGTGCTGCCTCTCTCACGGCCGGTGGCCCGGCGTGCCGCAGGTGATGCCGGACTGGAGCCGCGAGCTGGACTCCAAGCCGGCGCTGGGTGGCCTGGCCGCGCTCGTGTACGGCCTGCTGCCGGGAGCCACGGCCGGCGCCGAGCTGGGCCAGCTGCTGGCGCTGGCCGCCCGCCTGGAGCGGCTGGAACGCCAGATCGACACCGCCCTGCCGCTCAGCGCCTCTCTTTACAAGGTCAGGGGCATATGTACACGGCTTGGGTGCCAGATCGACACCGTCCGGCCGCTCAGCGCCGCCCTGTGCATGACCAGGGTCACAGACACGGAACTCAGGCGCTAAATCGACATTGGCCGAGCCACTTGGTGTCATGTAACTCCAGGCCAGTGTCATACACGGCTCACGTTTGTTATCACACACACTGCTCTGTGATTGTGGGGGTCATGTTTACGCTGCCCAGTGGCGCGTAGCCCGGGGCTAAGACCGCCCGTGTCCAGGTTAGCGGTAGTGCTTTTTCCTGCTCTGTGCTGCGTAGTACGGGGTGTTTTCAGACAGGTCATCCAGATGACACGGGTCAGCCACCCACGCACCGTCAGTAAGGTCGCCGCTGGGGTTTGAGCTGGGTTCATACATGCCGGCATTGTTCAGACTGCCGTTTACCGCTTGTTTCCCACAACGCGTTCTCTGTTCCGTTTCCGACGTTTCTCCTTGGCTCGTTTTTTGTGTTCCCGCTGATCATATTTGTACTGTGACTCGTGAATCCCCAGTGCGCCCACCTCCGACCATTTCCGTGGTTAGCTTTACCTCATCGCTTCCCGACTTTGCACTGCAGTGACGGCGATGTTTACCTTGCTGATGGCCGGCACGGGGCCGTGACCGCCAGGTGGAGATATGTGTGTGCTGTAGTTTTGAAGGTACACCAAAACACTTCCTGAATGATTGTCAGTGTTCTTTCGTGTGGGTTTTTGGATTCTCCCAAAGGATTAAGCGTATTACATGGGAATAGTGGTAAGGTCAGTTTGTCACACATGATACTCAGTTCTCTGGACCGTAGCGTCACATGCTTGCGATTGTCACATGCGTAGCCCCGTCTGCGTACGAATGCGAATGCCTGCGTCATAGTCCACGAGTACGCTGTAACTGTGGTGTTCTTGCCTGACCGTCGCGTTGTTTTCGATCCGCAGACGGCTGGCAGCACCTGAGTCGGCCTGCGCCCGCCTCGGCGCTCTCTCCAGTATTTATTGTAGCTGACGGTCGAGCGTGGCGCGCCGTGTTCGCCACAGCTGCGCCGCCGGCGCGGGTCACCGCGGTCCGGTCTGTAGTGGAGCGTGGTCCGTGTCAGCCACAGCTCTGGTGCTGGTGCGACTGTGACCACCCGCTGTCGGGGGCGAGGTTCGCTCGCGGGGAATTCGGCCTCGCGGATGTAGTTTGCATTTGTTTGCAATCGAGAAGGCCGAGTGCTGGTGGGCAATGTGCGTTGATTATGTATGGCAATTTTCTGAAACGTTGACGGATGGCTGTCAAGACCTCTGGTCTTGGACCGTGGTAGTCTTTCAAGGCCCAGTGAACGTGAGCGGAGAATGGACTATATTGTGAAGTGTGCGACAATTCGTGTATACTTTACGGAAAGGACGGCAGACTATAATAGTTTGTTGTTGTTTTCGCCAAGTCGAAAAGACGCACCCTGTTAGCGCAGACTCTGAGTTAATAAAACTTTTGGAACACTTGGAGCAAATTTGTTGAATATCTTGACGCGTAATTATGTCATACTGATGAGATTGTGATCCATGACAAGTTCCGCAGGCCCTTCTACCAAACCGCTCCATGACTAATATGTCTTGATCATGTTATTTGGTCCCTGTTTTGGGCATGTCCTTTGAACGAAGTGGTCTCGTCAGGATGATGTTTGGAATGCTGGTTGGTAATCGCTTGCAAGAGCCGCCAATAAATTATCAAGAAAGATCGCGTTTCGGATTACCGAATGGATCAGCTTACGTTAAATCGTGGTGCAGCAACACACGAACATGTGTTTTTTGCCGCCTACGTCTGACACGCAGTGCAGCAAGCTGTTGGGAAACACGGCACCGCTTAGCAAACCATGTACTGCAGTAATTCCGAAGCATGTCGATTCTACAGAGATGGCGCGTGTTAGAACAAAACTTGATTGCGTTTTACACAGCATGTAGGGCCTACGCAGCTTTCAAGACGTTAGGCAAGGAAAGAAACGGATTTCGGTTCATTTGTCTGTAATACCATGTCAATAATACTGAACTCTCCAACTGCTCGGGCGAACTATCCCTCCCCCCCCCCCCCCCCCCCCTCCTGGCATACATTCCTACACCACGTGCTGGACACGCGGCTTGTCGGAATACAAAAATCCAGGATGACTGAGAAATTTGCGTTGTCTTCGTTGTATAGAACTATTCCTACCATCCACCTCGAATTAGCTAAAAGAGGATAGCTAAGGGAACGCAAGGCAAGGCGATGTAAGGGTACGCAATGGACGGGTAGTTATCTCCTTTGGCTCCCACGTGAGGGGCCTAGGTTTAACCCCTCCCCAGTTGCGCCATGGTCCCTGTGCGTTATTTAAGCCTCTGCAGTCGCTGGTGCTCCGTAAAAGGGAGTGAGACGACGCGATGAAGATGGCCCCAGAACGATCGAACGTATCTGGGCAGGCTATTAGAAGCGGCCCCCATGAGAGCGTTTAGCCCTCCATTCAAATATGAAGTACCTAAGATCCAATGTGGGAAACCCCCAAGAGATCGAGTGTACCCAAGCAGGCTATCAGATGGCTCCCGAGAGGAGCGTAGGGCCCTACATTAAGAACGCAATGGGTCTCCGAACAACCCAGTGTGCCCGAGGTGAACAGACAGGGCTCCCGACAAGTATGTAGGGCCTTCCATTCAAATAGGATGGGCCCAAGGCAAAATGTAGAGGGCCCCCGAACGGCGGAGTGCGCCGGAGCAGGCGAACAGATGGGGCCCCGATTAGAGCATAGGGCCTTCCATTCAAGTAAGAATTACCCAAGACCCAATGTAGGGGGCCCCGAACGACCGAGTGTGTCCTGGCAGGTAATCAGATAGGGCCCAGGGCGAGAGCGCGGGGCCCTTCATTCAAATAAGAGTACCCAAAACCTAGTGTGGGGGGCCCCGAAAGATCGAGTGTAACCGAACAGGCTATCAGATGGCCCCCGACAGAAATACGGGGCCCTGCATTCAAAACGAGAGAACCCAAGTCCCAACCTGAAGGGCCCCGAACGACTGAGCGTGCCCAAACAAATTAACAGGTGGGCCCCCGATAAGAGCGTAGGGCCCTAAACAAGTGACAGAGAACTGGAGGAGCCCTGGACCAATATGGAGGGCCATGGGCGTATCGTGAGTGTGTCGATACGTTAACTGAGGCCAGCATGAATGCCGCTGAACAACCGAAGACATCTTGGCAGGCAGATTATTGTATTGTATTTGCATATAATATATAATGTATAAAATATACAATAATGTATAATGCGTTGGGAGTAGGGCGGATAGAGACTTTAGGTCGAATGGGAAACATCCGTGGAAGGCTCTGATTTACGGGAGTGCCCGGTTCGCTAGCAGGAAGAATGCCAGCAGCAGCGCGGGGCCCTTCGAGCCAATGCAAAAAAATAAGGACAACTTAGACGGCTCCTTAACGATCGAATTGGCCCTGTAAGTGGACACAAGGGACCTCCAGCAACAGCGTATGGCCTCTGAGCAGTGTAAGGGGCCTTAAAACTTCCCAGTCACCACCCATTTAATCAGTGAAGAATCACTCTTGTCTTCTCTTGGGCCCTTCACATCCGTTTGTGACTCTTCTTGGTCGCCTGGAAACCGCTTAACACGTCCCATATTGTTACGTCTGATGTTAGAAGAAATTGCGTCTGTTTGGTCGGCTCTGTCGGCATTGGTCGGCATTCGGGGCCTATGTGCCTCTTTGAAGCACAAGAGGGCATTGCCCAGTGTCCCCCCTCCCCTGTCTCTCCCCGTTCACTCTGGATCCGCTCCTGTGTGAGGGTAAGGCATAACCTATTTCTCGTATTTGCGAAATTTTGGCAATCCTCGACGCCTGCTATTTTTTATTGGTGATGGCGCGGGATTCTGTATATTGTGTATATGGCAGTACTACTTCCAAATTGTTCATATACGGTTGTGAAGGTTTTGTGACATTGAGTTCCCCGCTGTACACAAATGCTATTGTCTAGAATTTGCCCGGAGTCGGCATAGAGGTGCACGTGGTCGGTTGAATAGACATATCTATTTTAAAAGCTGTGCACGTGATACTGGTGTAATGTGCACGCAGGAAAGTTTGTGATTTCCAACAGGTAAAGCCATGTAGAAAGGATCCACTGCGCCGGACGCCTGTGACATCGGCGAACTGGTGCTGGTGTTCCTTGTGTTCAATACTCATTAATTTGTCATGGAAAATAGCATAGCATTTTTACCTGAAGTTAACAGTTTTTCCTATGTGAAATCCTTGGAGCATTAACTGTCTGCGCAGAGGCTAGCGCAGACCTGTGGTTATACAGTGTGCACTAAACTTGGGGCATTCAGGTTTACTAGGTATGTGCATTGAAATGTTTGTTGTATTGCTGCGGCTAGGCTGACATGCTCAGCATAACATGTATGTTTGGGAATCTGAGCTGGATGCTCCCCAGGACAGTCTGAAAATTATCCACTGCTCCCGACTCTTTTGTGACTGATGCTCAGCACCAGTATTGTCCAAAGTATGGTCAGTTTGACATGTGCATTCTGCTTTGAACTGCACAGTGGTGTATGCTTAGCAAGGTGATGTGAACAACCTTCCAGCATGGGGAAAGTGTAATGAAGCTGGTGAATAAAACCTGCAATCCTTTGGTTGCTGCAGTGTATGCTTCATCCAGACAAATTTCATCAGTTCTAAATAAACCTCATGTACATATCATGTAAGAGTTTTCATTATATCACCTACATTGTGAGAGAAATTATTTGATTATCTCTTCCTGTGATTGGTGGCCTGCTCATGTGATACTCTTAAGATATGTTATTATTAAAATAAAAGGAGGTATGAGATGCTGAAGAATTGTATTGCTAACATGTCAGGTACTTAAGTAAGATCTTAGGTGCATGTTACTGCATGCTCTGCTGCATGCCACTTTGGGGATCTTTTGCACATGCAGAAGGACTGTGGAAGCAGTGGATATATGCTTTAGGCAGGCAATAAAAGTAAAACACTGAATAGTTGTAAACATATTGTGGTAATCAGTTCAGACAACTAAATGTGATACAGAGTAAACATAAAATAGTAACACTGAGCTGTTGCAATGAATGTTTAGTTAGAAGTTGCATATTTTGGACTGCTAACTGATAAGAAAATAGACAAGTTCTAATACATAAGATTATACAATACAGAGATCAGTAATAAACAAAACAAACTTAAAAAGCAAACTGATAAATCAGCACAAGTTAATTATTCTGATAGCAGAAAAGTGACAATAAACTAGGAGAATAACTATTAAACTATCCAGAAATCAATGAATTATGGTCAGTAAGTTACATCATTCACATTTATTGAATCACAGTGCATATGATGGCTTCAGTAGTATGAAATAGAGTGACCTAGACACATAGAAAAATCAGTTTTTAGGGTTATCAAGTTTTCATATTTACAATGTCTTTACAACCAAGCTCAGAGGTGAAGGCCAATCAGAGCTTTGTTGTGTTTTTGCAGTTTGGTGAATGGAGCTCTCTTCATCAAACCTGTCACATGGACAATGGGCAAGTGCTTATTGTCTTACATGTTTGCAAAGACACAGTATATATTTTTGTGAGGCAGTGCTGCAACAGCACTGGGGGATTTTTCTTACACTATGTGTTATGACATGACCACATGTGGTGAGCATTATCCTATTTGTTCAGAAATACAAGTACATTGAGGATATGGCACAATTGGTGCTCTGATGATCACCAGAACCAACAGCCATGTAGATGGCGTGCAGTGTTCATTAGCCCAGTGTTATATTCATCCCAGATGGTGTGACCAACAGCACAAATGTGCTTGCAGTGTCTGGTCAGGTACCAGGTCATGAGTGGTGCATTAATTGGCATTGCTTTGATAGGCTCAGGATGGGGCTGACCAAGCAGTACCTGCGCTTCGAGGCCGGACCCGTGTTCGGCGTGATCGGCAGCCGCGACTGCAATGTCTGCTG